CCTCGGTCAGGAACGCGCGGAAGCTCGACCCGCCGGCGTAGTCCCATATCTCCAGCCAGGCGCTGATTCCGTGGGCGCTTCTTCCGCTGCCGGTCGGGTAAGTGACGGGGCCGCCATGGTTAGCGGCCAAGAAGGCTTGGTCTGACATTGGGCTGTCATCTGGCGGCGTCAATGGTGCTGTCATGGCCGACGATGCCCCTCCGTTACTTCCCAATTCTCCTCCGTGATCATAATCAAAGTAATTGACGGTGTTGTTGGCAGTGGTGTCGTGATGGTGATGATGATTATTGTTGTTATTATAAGCACTGGTCAGGCGGGAGCGCTGCGACGCCTGGTTCCTCTCACCCAGAAACATGGCGTGCAGCATCTCGCAAAAGAATCTCTCACATTCTTCCCTGATCCGCAGTGCTGCCCCCCCTCGGCGGTGTGCTGAGGAGGAATTGCTCGAGCCATTCCGACCATGGTTGATGTTGCGCGATGTGGATGACTTCCTCGCCTTGGGAGTCAGCGCAAGCTCGTTGGTCGGCGTGATGGCCGCGAGGGGGGGGCTTGAGGGCGGCGATGGTAGTCCCGTGGAAGGGACCTCAGGAATACCACTCAGCCCCTGTGACGCCGGTAGTGCAGTAGTGGAGCCCCTTCAGCGAGGCGGCCGACGCATCGTCGACCAGATAGCAGCTGGCGAGGATATTGGCCTGGCGGACAATGCCCTCGCCATATTTACTACTACTGTAATTATTACTACTATTGGTTTTCATTGTTGGCGCCATGGTGACTGCTGGTAGATGCCACTTTTGCTGATGCTGTTGGTGTGGGTTTGGAAGGGGGTGTCAAAGAGTCAGGGAGACAGGAGTCGCCGATAATGTGTCAACGAAAATTGACAAAAAAGTGTGTGCGAGAGTCGAGCGGCGGATAGATTTGGTTTGGTGAGTCAGTCAGTCGGCGAAATACTCGAGTGTGACGTGAACTGGTGGTTGTCTTGGTGTTGAAATAGCGGTGGTGACTGGCAGGGCAGAATAATGGAGGAATTGCAGGTTTACGGAGAAACGTGGAGCGGTGGAAACTGGGAGGGATTGAGGGAAAATCTGGAAGAATCGAGAGGCTGGATGGCGCAAAAAGGTGGGGTCAAGAACCCTTTCGGTGGCGGCGGGCAATGTTTCATCACGTGGTTGGGCCAGAGCTTGGTAGTGGGTGACTCCAGCGGTCGCACGGCACATCAAACCCTGAAAGAAAGAAACCAGCCAGGATCCAGCCCAACTCAAACTCGGGGTCTTTTGTCGACACACATTGGGCCGCCAACAGCCGAAGACCTGGGCCACCTCCGTCTTACGAATCCGGCTTTCGGTATTAATACGCCGGCTGATAGTTAATTTGTTCATCACCTGGGTTGTCTTTGAGATTGAATGCTGGACCTCGCACCCTTTGCGATGAGCAGATCGTTATTTAAAGTCGTGGAGCAACTGGCCATTTGCTCGACAGCGAGAAATGTCAGTTTTCAGACTCTGCGCTAAATCCAGTGCCGTTCACTTCAGCGCGCCATCGGTGGCAAGTGCGCGGCAACCAAGCTCGCCAAGCAAGTCCTTAGCTTATCTGAGTTCGCCGCCGCAGTGGCTCTCCGCGCCGATGTTCGAGCAAACGAATGACCACCAACAGAAGCATCTTGACACTGGTACTCGGCCCGCTCCTTTGTCTTGATACTTGTATCCTGGTCTCCTTGCTGGGCTGGCAAAGAACAACCAGTCACGTCATCAATCGACAGCAGCCTCACAGATTGTTCAATTCTGGGAGAGAAATTGATAACCGATTGACCATTGCAACCGAGTTGAACCTTGCCGAGTCATGCTGGCCTTCTGATTTGAAGTCAATGCGACGAAGTTATCCGTACCACACAACCCCAGTGCCCACGTCAAGAGGGTCCCAATCATGAAGATTCACATCCTTTCGCCCAGACACCCTTGCCAAGAGAAAACCTCGGGAGCTTGGCAACGGCCTCAATGGCTGGTTCTTGCCAGGCGGTGTGATAGCAGCCGCCCAGCCCGTGGCCTCCTGACCCGATGACCTTGGCTTTGACAAACCTCACCTCCAGATATCCGAGGGGCTGGATCTCTATGGTAGGTCAGACGTGAGCAATTGGTTCATCCCTTCGAAGACAACGCTATTCACTTTCACTCAGATTCGAAAGCCCCCCAGTGATTTACCCCGCTATGTGAGAGCCAAGGGATCGTCCCCGCGCTAACCGCATGCACGAGATCCATTATCGATAAGCTGACGGGAACGGAAATCGCGGGGAGTGTCACCTGCTTCTCCTATCGCCTTGTCTCGGGCAGGAACGACCTGACCAGCCGCCTAAAGCTAAAAAGAAAGCGCATGCCTGGAAAACACAATGCGCATTAATTGAAAGATTGTTTCTTTTTCCCAAAGTTCAAGTGAATCAAAAATAACCCACCCCGTTACCAAACCACTCCCTATCTGCTTTGTTCTCTGATCCCAGCCGGGCGCCTGTAAATGTGACGCGATCGATCATCTGACTGCGGGGCCACCATTTCTGAGACGCGACATGACTTGACATGAGTAACGGTCCCTCCATCTACCGCCAGATTCCCTGCCAAGCCCGGAAATCTCGGGCGCCTGGAGGGAGCAGACAAGACAAAGCCTCGACGGCCCGAGCCAAGTCTTCCAGCTTTTTCTAGACGATCGATCTGGTATCATCGATCTATGCGAGACAGGAGAGTTCTCCCGATTGCCCATTTCAGCCAAACCTTCGACCGCCTTGGCCTCAGCAGACGCAGCCACAATGTTCGGCGACATCACCGCGGCTTTGACCAGGCCCACCGCCGCCGCCGCTTCGCCGGCCCTAGACGACGGTCCGACCTTCCCCCTCTATCTCCTCCCTAGCTTCACCCTTCCATTCCGTCACCGCCGCCCGTCTGCCTCGCCGCGGTCCTCTCCCATTTCTGCTCAACCCGCCGCCCACCACAGCCCCCTGCCGTCGCTGTCCAGCTCCCCTGGCTCAGACACTACATGTGTAGGCTCGCCGGGAACTCCAAGGAGTTTCAAGTCATTCTTTCCTGAACTGCCCAGCCTAAACGACTACCATGCCTTCAACAAAACCGAGACCCCCGATACGAAGACCGAAGTCGTCTCTCCGCCCACGGGTCCCCGCGTATCGCGCACTCAGCCAGATACGCTCCGCTGTGGCACTTGCGCCACGGACCTCGCTTTCAGTTACCAGATAATCTCTCGTGGATTCCAGGGCCGCCATGGCCGCGCATTCCTGGTCTCGCCGCCCTCCGGCCAACCCACGCCAAACTGTCCCGGCTCGCCGCTGAACACCACAATCATCAGCACTACGCACAGCACGCCCACCACCAAAGCCGACCTGATCAACATCCGTGTCGGCCGTCCCGAGAACCGCCAGCTCGTCACTGGCGCACACGTAGTCGCCGACATTACCTGCGCAGTCTGCACCACCAAGCTCGGCTGGAAGTACGTCGACGCCCAGGAGGTCGCGCAGAAGTACAAGGTCGGCAAGTTCATCCTCGAGACGCAGCGCGTCGTGGCCCACCACAGCTGGGAAGACATTGACCACACCCTAGTCGGGGAACAAGAGACGGCCACAACGACGAGAGACAACAAGCGCTTGTGGCGGCGACGGCGACGTGCGAGCAAGCCCCATGTTCAGACTATCATCACCAAAGCCGCGGAAGACGTTAGTGACGAGGATGTTTCTGACGAAGACGACGTGATTGTGTTTGACTCGGACGACGAAGACGAATGTGAAGATATCTTTGCTGGCGTGTGGGATCCCGAGACCGTGGCCAAGCGGCGACGAGGTAAGGTCTCGAATATGTGGAGGGCTGGCGGTGCCAGTGCTGCGTGAAGCCTTCTTTTTTGACTTCTCCCCCTTCACTCATCCCCCATTTTGTCGAAGGCACCTCCAGCTGATGGAAATATAATTATTGTGTTTTGCTTTTTTGGTGCCATTTTCTCGAACTCCCTTTGCGCTGCTTTATTGTCCGCCCCTTTCCACATTTCCTTTTCATGTTCGCGAAACATATCACGGGAAGTTTTGTAGACATGGGGAAGTTGGCTTTGTTCGTTTTATTTGAGATGGCCGCAATATCCCTTTTATTTGCAAGGTGCACACACCGTGGTTGGAACACGGATATGGATCACGGACGGAACAATACCCCCTTTCTTATTTTATAGCGGCGGTGGGAAGAAATACGGAGTTCATTGTGAAGAACACAACGGGGTAGAGAGATGATAGTAATGAGGATGGCCTGAAGACATGGTTCGAGGAGATGGTTTAAAACAATTCCATGCGAAGGTGTGCCAGATCGCCGGGTTCCCTCGTCAAACACAAGCATATGAACAGACAAAAGAGGAGAAGCACTGCACTCAAGTAAATAGGCGGCAATTAGACAGAGTCTCTAATAAGCTTAGCAAAATAAAGCACTTATCCTTTTCTATAATATTGGTTCAAGTTCAAAATAGTTGAGACTTCAACCGCCTTGGGATACCCCCCTCCATTCTCACGCATTGCTCCATCTAATATAGAGATAGGTTACAAGTCCCCTTGGTCCCTATACTTCGCGAAACTCATACCCGCTAGCTCGCTGGCCCAACAACAGAGGGCTTCCACTTTCCACTTTGAACTTCAACTGGGGCTCCACAACCACCCATGGCTCACAACCACCCATGGCTCACAGCCACCCATGGCTCACAACCACCCATGGCTCACAACCACCCATGGCTCACAACCACCCATGGCTCACAACCACCCATGGCTCACAACCACCCATGGCTCACAACCACCCATGGCTCACAACCACCCATGGCTCACAACCACCCATGGCTCACAACCACCCATGGCTCACAACCACCCATGGCTCACAACCACAACCCACAACTCAAGCAAACTCTTCATATGTAAACCAAACACCCACCCGAATCTCTATCGAAACAGATCCAATCCAAGGATCTGCTTTCCAGATACGCACGGCCCGCTGGCTCAATGGTAGACCTACGATTGGTACATCAGGAGGCTCCAGGTTCGAGACCAATGTGGGTCATCTTGTTTTTTGCCATTTCTTCTTTCCACCCTACCAAAGTGTCTATCTATCATGGGATGGAATCTGGTTGCTTCTAAACCGTTCCTAATCACACGGAACAAACTCTAATCATCAACTGGCACTTTTTAACGAGATTTAGAACTAGTTACTTCATGTTGTGTTTACTTCATGTTGAATTTGATACGCCCCTCCTCGCCAGATATAATATATGTTTTTGGAGGACCCGGTCAAGTCTGTCTCAAACAAACATTCCCAGGGTAGAGTGAGAGCTAATTCCCTGAGATTGACGAAAAAATTGTATTTCTTTCGCGAGTTGTACTCATTTCCGGGACGTACTAAACTACGATGACGGTCAAGAAAGTCAGGCGGCAGATACACACGACCGACCGTAATCTAAACAATGGGCTCCTCAGCAACATAGTGCAGGTACGCGCCCAGCAACTTGATGCCCTCAATATAGTTCTTCTTGTCCAGCTTTTCGTTGATCGAGTGCGCGCCATCGGTCGAGCTGCCCATCGGCAACAACAGCACGTTCTTGCCCGTGGCCTGCTCGAACGTGAGCGTCACGGGGATGCTGCCGCCCTCGCGGGTGAAGTCGGGCTTCATGCCCCAGACTCTCTCGACCGCCTTGGCCGCCGCGGTAAAGTTCCAGTGCTTGGGGCTGGCGACCCACCAGTTTCCGCAGTGCTGGGCGTACACCTTCATCGTGTTCTTGGACTTCAGCTTCGCGAAGGCCTCCTTAACGTGCGCATAGACGGCCTCGTTGGTCTTTTCGATGGACATGTCGGGAACGGTCCGGATGGAGAACTTGCCGATCACCTTGGCGGGGATGACCGTCTTGGCTCCGGGAGCGGAGAAGGCGCCCTCGATGCCGTGCACGGAGAGCGACGGGTTCCGCCACCTGGCCATCAGGGTGGGCTTCTTCTCGTCAAAGATGGTGGTCTTGCTTCCTAGGGATTCGTGCAGCGTCTCCATGGTGAAGGCGATATCGTCGTACAGGCCGTCTTCCTCCGCCGTTATCGGGGCCACCTGCTCCGCGATGCCCTTGATCTGGATCTTGCCGTCCGTGTCGACCAGCCCGCCGAGGATGCGCACGAGATCTGTCATGGGCTCCTGGGCGGTGCCGCCGAACACGCCGCTGTGGAGATCAGCACCAGGGCCAGACACTTCAACGCTGTAGTAGTTGCAACCCCGTAGGCCGTAGGTGAGGCAGGGCCGCTCGGTGCCGAGCCAGTAGTTGTCGCTGATGCATACGGCGTCAGCATCCGCAAAGTATTTCTTGCCCTCCTCGTTGATCAGGTCGTCCAGCCCTTCGGACCCGTACTCCTCCATGCCCTCGAAGCACATGAGCAGGTTGACGGGGAAGTCAACTCCGGCCTGCTGGTGGGCCTCAATAGCGTTGAGCCAGCCCAGCACGGGGCCCTTGTCGTCGGTCGAGCCTCGCCCGAGCATGCGGCCGTCTTCTTTAACCGTCAGCTCGAAGGGTTCCGTCTCCCAGCCGTCGCTCTTCTCGGCCGGCTGCACGTCGTAGTGTCCGTAGACGAGGATGGTGCGCTTGGACTTGTCGTTGCCGTAGCGGGCGAGCACGCAAGGGGGAAGTGTGAGGTCGGTTCCCGGCTGGGGGCCCAGCTCACGGAGCTCGACGCTGGCACCGAGCTTCTTCAGCTCGTCGGCGAGAAAATGGCCCATGCGGACCACATCCGGGCGGCGCTCAGCTTCGGATGACACGGAGGGGATGGCGACGGCCTGGCGGAGGCGCTCAATGAAGTGGTCGGACAGGGTGTCGACCTGCTTGAAGTAGCCATCGAGATTGGGAGCCATCTTGCGGGCTTGGTGTGCGACAATCGAGTCGGTAAGGTACGGTCGTCGGGAAGAGCTTGCTTTGTAGCGGGGGAGCTGCTGAAGAGTTTGCTGATGAGGCCGTGGGGAGCTGGTGTTAAAGGTCGAAATGGGACGAGACGAAAATACTGCTGGGCCTCGCCGTGGGACGAGACGTGTCAGAGGCAATCGGGAATGTCGCAGGGCGAGCAAGGTGCGGGGCATTGGGAAGGTGAGGAATGACGGCGAAAACCTAGGTAAGCAGCTGCAGACAAACAGACCACTGCCCACCTCTCACGCCTGCGCCTGCTTCATCGGGCGTTGGATTGGCGCGTGCTGCCCCGCACTTGCCCGTTTATTTCTCTTGGCGGGGCGTGGAGGGAGCTCTTTCTTGGCGGGCTATGCTTATCTGCGGGTGGCATCGGCATAGCGGGGTAATCGTCTCTCCAACTTACATACCGATACAAACAAGGTGACTCAATTTTCGACTGCCGTTTCAATGATCAAGTACTAAATGACTCATTGTTGTCATAATCTCGGTGAAATTCACGCATCTGATGTATGAGACCCCAGCAACATGGATCTCTTGGAACGGCTGCAACTTCAACTCACAAGGACGATGGATGACCCGCGGCCAATCGTGCTGATGACATGTGGGATTGCTGGTATGCAACAACCAAAATGTGAGACAAGAGGGTTAATATGTGAACAATGCCTAATAAGCATCTCCAGGTTCCGGAAAGTCGACTCTCTCCAAGGCCATTATTGCAAAATACCCAGACTTTGAACGACTATCCAATGACAACATACTCCACGCCAACCATGGGTTATGTGGAACCGACTATCTACTCGAAAAGTACGACGAGTATCTGGATGAAGCAGATCTAGAATCGAGAAGGCGGCTGGTTGAGTTGCTTGACAAAGGCGAAAAGAGCATCGTCCTTGACAGATCCCTCTACAGCCGAGAGGACCGCAACTACTTCAAGGAGGTCGTGGAATCAAAAGGGGCGCGTTGGATCTTGGTCTTCTTCCGTCCTGCGAGCAAGGAGCTGATTTGGAAGAGAATTCAAAAGAGACGGGAGAATGGAATCAACGCGGACTCGGCACTGGGCATTTCTCGAGAGCTCCTGGATCGGTATTGGGACGGCTTTGAGAATCCTGAAGGAGAGGGAGAGATCACCGTCGATGTGGTTGAGTAGGCTCTCCTCGGCGGAATGAAATGATACCAATTTTGTGTATGAGAATCGGAAGCATGAACTGCAAGCAAAAGAGTGTGGAAAAGAAGCAATGAAATAATTAAAGAGTTATGCAAGGACATATGTCTCATACTTAATCCCCACTGATAGTGTCTCATCCACGGAAACGAAACTGATGGCATGAGTATGCATGGCCATACAGATAAACTGGGAACATATCTCTTAATGGTGAACATACGACTGTGAAGTTGACCAGCAACATCTCAGTGGATCCCGATTTCGGATTATCCTAAGTTACAAGAATGAGAACTTTTGTTTGCCGAATGACCAGAAACAAACCATCTCAACTTTTTTGGATTCACATCATTCTCCCTCAGATCTGATATCAGCGGGGTTGAAACTCAGCCATGGAAGGTAAATTCTCCTGTGAATTCAGTCTCACAGCCGCATCGCCATCAAACTGTGCTGGAGCCGGCGTATTCGACCCGAGTGTCTGAACCTCGGGAGCGTCCTTGATAAAGATCCAAAAGGCGGTGCCGACGAGAAGGCCGAGTCCACCAAACATGGCCCACCTACGAGGAGATGAAAGTTGTTACCATATAGAGACCTGGCAGGAATGGATTTTGGTGGTAAATATGATCACGGCTCACGAGCGGTTGTCCATGTTCAACACACGACCAGAGGCCAGTTTCTGCTCTGGAATCATTCGGGGTTGAACAACGACCATGGATCGTTTGGCTAGTGGCAGGGCCAAGAGCCTGGCCGCGAGAGGCCGGCGCAGAATGATGGGTGAGAATCTCTGCATGGTCAATAAAAAAAGGGTGGTTCGGGTTTAGGAAAGGGACTGGAAATGGGGTTTACGATGAAATGTGCGGCACCATAAAGTGATATGTAAATTCTATGGGTACCGGTGAATGAGAAAAATGGAGCAGTCACTCTGACGTTGATAAGGGCCCGTACGTGGTCTGAGCTCAGATACAGAGAAATTGACTTTCTTTGGTACATCGGCATTAAAGGAAGAAAACTCAAAATTGACCAATGTTGTATTTGCCGGAGCTGTGTTCCGGTTGCTAATAATCTGAAGCATGGGAAGGATGGGATAGCTCTAAACCCAAGATGAATGCAATCCTCAACGTGAAAAGGCAATATTTCTGCGAGTCACAATTGAACTCTAGTGCCATCACACAGTCTAGTTCATAATAAAAGCACTATTAGCTCGATGTTGCTGCAACTGGCCTGAAAGAGGTGATAAGAGGTTCCCCACTCAAAGTCATCAGAACCAGAATTACGTCGTGCCCCCCTGATTCTGGAAGTGACGAAGAAGGCTGGCGGTTCCCCAGCCCAAACACGCGCATCGCGAATACCACGCCCCTGACTCCCAGCTGAAAGCTACTGCAGTCATCCAGCGTCGAGCACATTGAAGAAGCAGCGCTTACCTCAAACTGGTTTCACAAGCGCTTGACTTCGGAGCGAGTCCCGCAGTGCTTCGGTTTGGCCCGAATTTCGATACCGAGTTTGGGGTTGTCAGGGGTGTTGGGTTCTGTCTGGGCACTGTAAGCGCTGGGCAGAACAGGGGTTCGTTGCTGAGATGTGCAGGAGTGGCCCTCCAGATACGGACTTAGCGCCTTCCCCCTGGGGGTGAAGTCGCCATTCATTGGACGAACCTTCTGGGTTAGGCCGAGCATGCCGCTTCAGCACCCATGGTGGGATGTTCGATGTGCTGGAACATGTGGCAGGCGAATGGCATCTCAACATGGAACAAAAAGCTAAGCGCCATGAGGGAGCAGCCTGTCAGGGCTGATGCCGTTGCGGGCACCGTACGGCATACATTCTGCACCCCTTCAAAGTGCCTCAAGAGATGGGAATGCCCGGATTCGCGACCTGTCCAACATGTTTCTCATCTCAAAATCCGCACCGTCATCTGACCTATCTGATCTGATCTGATCTGATCTCTGGCTGCAGGGCCGTTGAGGCTGTTCCCGTTCA